TCGGGAAGCTGTTCCCAGGGAACACCTCTCTGCACAGGCGTTCCCAGGTGGAGAAGCTCCCCAGCCTCCCCTCAAGGACAAGGCAGAGGGCACTGCCCGGCTCCTTCAGGCAGGAGGGACGTGCCGGGACACCGGGAGGTGGCCCCGACCCCCTCACCTGCCGCGGGCAGGGAGAGCAGATCCAGCTGGCTCCCGGCACACGGATTCCCCTCTCCCTCCACCCTGCAGCCACGCAGACCTTTGGGATGGGAAGGACGCTTCCCTACTTCTCAGCTGAGCAGTGCCCTCAGTGCCGTGGGCTCCCGGGGGTCACAGCCCCGATCCCTCCCTCCCAGCCTCGGGAAGCAGCTTCTGGGACCTTTCCGGGACGGCTGGAGGAGACCCCGCTCCGCAGGCACCGTGGTGGCTCCGGCAGCAGCTGCAGAGCCGGGAATGCCCAATTTCCTCCCGGAGAAAGTCCTGCAGCAGTCCCAGAGCAGCCCTGGGCTGTGCAGCCGAGCAGCACTCCAGGCTTTCTCCTGGCCGGGACATCGGGAGCCTCTGCCGGGCTCGGCGCTCCCGGAGGAACCGGTGAGAGCCGCAGCCAGCCCCGCCTGGCCCGGCAGATCCCAGCCTGGCACCCGGCATGGGGAGGCAGCTCTTCCCAGCGCCCGCTGCCTGTTCCTCTGTAATTCCCGAATTTCCTCGTGCCACGGCACCGGACTGTCCTGCTGGAAAGGGCCTGCCCCAAATCCCGTTTTATTTATGATTTCCCCCAGCTGTGCCGCTCCTGCTCCTGCTCGCAGCAGCCGCTGCTGCCTGCACAGCCGGGGCAATCCCTCCCTCCTCCCCTCCACCGTTTAGCGGCTGCCGTGACAAGCCCGAAGGGACAATTCCGTCTGGTTTCCAGGCTGCATCCCAGGCAGAGCGGAGTTCAGCTCCTCCGGCGCACGCAGCTCCCACGCAGAGTTCGCTCTGTCCCCGCAGACCCCTGACCCCTCCGCAGGACGCTCAGTCACAGCCGCGCTGCCCGCAGGGATCGGAGGAACGTTCCAGCAGCATCAGCATCCCGCCGCTGCCGGGGATCCTTCACCCGGGTCTGGCTCCAGCTCTCAGCCAGTCTGCTCCCAACATCAGAGCGCCCAGCAGTCCCACCGGGACTTCCCAAGCGGGGATCCCACTCCTAGCGGTTTGTAAAGCCCTGCCCCGAGTTTTGGGGTTGATCCCAAACCCCGCTGGTTAATCAGGGCTCAAACACCTTTAGGACCAGCTCTGCTCAGCAAAGCTCCGCATCGCAAAGCACTCCAGGGTACAGAACCCCCGGGGCCCCAGAGAAGCAGCTCCAGAGACTCCCGGGGTTGCGCGGGGAGCCGAAGGGGACCGGACAGAGCCGGGGGCCGGACACAGCGGAGCCCGGCGGGATGGGCAGGGCCGGGCCGGACCGGCACACCTGGGGGACCTCGGCTCGGACACGGGAAAAATCTGGGTGCGACTGCGCTGGGAGCAACGCGGAACGTGGGAAGGCAGCGGCGGGGATGGTGCAACATTAATTCAATTATTTCTGATTAACACTCAAGGCAGCAGCCAGCCCCTCACACGCCAGACGGTCATCCCCAGACCAGAGAGCATCACTTGGAGCCGGTGGAAAAAACAGCGAGAGGGAAAGCGCTCGGTGGCAGCGACCCGCAGGGAGCTCCCGAGGGGTTCCCGGGCCGGGGAGACCCTGCCCGGCCATGCGGGACCTGCCGGACCCTCCGGACACACCGGGACCCGCCGGGCCCTCCGGAACCTGCCGGACACACCGGGACCCGCCGGGCCCTCCGGAACCTGCCGGACACACCGGGACCCTTCGGACACACCGGGACCCACCGGAACCTGCCGGACACACCGGGACCCGCCGGAACCTGCCGGACACACCGGGACCCGCCGGAACCTGCCGGACACACCGGGACCCTTCGGACACACCGGGACCCGCCGGAACCTGCCGGACACACCGGGACCCGCCGGACCCTCCGGGATCGCTGCGACCCCGGAGCGTTCCGGGCACCGCGGGCAAACGCGCAGCGAGCGGCGGGGCCGGGAGCGGAGCGGGGAGCAGGACACGGACCGGAACCGACACCAACCAGGAGTCCCTTAAACCGACATCAGCAGGGGTGCCCTTGGACCGACACGAATGGGGGACGGGGTCCGGGGCCAACAGGGGATCCAGGGGACCAGGACCCTCTCGGACCGAGGGAACAGAACCGACACGACCCGGAGGTCTCTTGGACCGACTCGAACCGGGAACACGGACCAGAACCGACACGACCCAAGCGGCCCCGGAGAGGAGCCGAGGCCAGCCGGGACTGCCGGCGCGCACTCACCGCGGAGAAGTTGTGCGGGCCGCAGAGCTCGCCGCGGTACTTGCAGGACAGCAGCATGTCCTCCAGCTGGTGGCCCAGGCGGTCCATGAAGTCGGCGCTGATGCCCTCGTAGTGGCGGGGCGGCAGAAAGAGGCGGAAATCGGCCAGTTTGGCGAACCAGCGCAGCCGCGCCTCGTCGGCGCGCAGCAGCTCGGTGAGCAGCGGCCGCGCGGTGCGGTTGGGCAGCAGCAGCCCCAGCCAGTGCCCCGCGTAGTACAGGTCGCCCTTGGAGAGGCGAGGGAAGCGCAGCGGGTTGTTGTTGCACAGCGTGACGGCGGGGAAGGGCAGCTGGCGGCTCCACTCGGTGCGCACGCGGGTGTGCGAGGGGAAGGCGAGCCAGTGCAGCAGGCGGTCGGAGGACCAGGCCAGCAGCAGCCCCAGCGCCGTGCAGAAGGCGAGCACCCAGAGCGCCCGGCGCGCCGGCGCCGCCCGCGCCGAGCACATGAGGCGCAGCCCGTGCAGCCGAGTGCGCAGCGCCGGCGCCCGGCGCCCCCGCGCCATGGGCGCTCCCCTCCTCCTCCTCCTCCTCCTCCTCCTCCTCCTCCCGCCGCCGCCGCTCGTCCTCCTGCGGGCCGGGCTCAGGGCGAGCAGCGCCGCGCCATCCCCGGGCCCCCCGCCGGCTGCGGCCCCGAGCGGCGGGGGCAGCGCCCGCGGGCGGCCCGCGGCCCCGAGCTGCGCGGCGGGCGGCAGTTCCGGCAGCGCGGCATGCCGGGCCCGGGGCCACCGGGGCCACCGGCGCCTCCCGCCCCCGTGCCTGTCGCTGCCCCTATCCCTGCCCGGCCGCGCCGCTCACATCCCGCGGTACCGCGCCCCGCCCGACACCGACCGAGCCGCGCCGCGGCCCTCCCGGGCTCCGACCCCGCGGACCCGGGACCCCGGTGGGGAGAGCGCTGCGGGACCCCCGCGCTACCCCCGGCCCGCGCCCGCCCGGCCCGCGCCGCGCCCGCCCCGCGCTGCCATCGCCGAGCGCTCCGCCGGGCGCGCCCCGGCCGCGGGCAGCGAGCGACGGCAGCAGCAGCGGGAGGCTGAGGAGGAGGAGAAAGAGCGGGACGAAGCTTCCCGAGGCGCCGGTCCCGGCCGCTCGGCGCTCGGGAGGCGGAGGGAGCGATGCCGGGCGCCGATCGCGCTGCCGCTTTCCCGGAGTAGCCCCCCGCTCCTCCTCCTCCTCCTTCTCCTCCTCCTCCTCCTCCGCCCCCCGTTATCCCCCGGCTGCCGCCGGCCCCGGCCCCCCCGCTGCCTCCTCCCTCCTCCGGCAGGAGTTTGTTTTTCTGCTATTCAGCAGCCCCGGGGGAGAACATCATATCAAGAAAAGCCGGGGGTAACGGAGGGGAGGCTTGCAGCGGGCTCCGTGCGGCCGCTGCTTTCTGGGGAAGGGGGGATGCTCTTGGAGGGGGCTCCGGGCCCTCTGCTCTCCGCGGCGAAGCTGCTCCCCGCGCCTCGGCTCCATGGAATGAATGGGAACGGGAGAAACGCGTTCCGGGAAGCATCGCCCCCGCCCCTCGCTGCCCCTCGCCCCGAGCCTGCGGAGCCCTCTGGGGTCAGGGGCTCCTCCTGCCCTGATCGGACACCGAAAAAGCCCCTTTCCCTTAACAGCCTGTGCGACGGGAATAACTCGGGATGTGGATTGGCATCTCCTCGAGATTGCTGAGCTCGGATCTCTGCAAGCGGCTGCCGTTACCTTCATTTTGCTTTCAAACAGAACCGAGAAACATTCCTCTAATTGTGTCCAATTAAGCTGTAAGTGCCGGTAACTGCTCCGAATCCCCTCTGATATATTTTTTTTTTCCTCGGAATTAATTTTCCCTATGCATTTGGAGCCGTATATTTTTACCCAATAGATGGAGTCGTTACAGCCTGGTTCTCGCCAGCCTCTCCCGGCGAGTTGCTTTTTTTATTGTGGCAAAGCTGCGAACGTGCAGCAGCCCCGGCTTGGGGGGCGGCCGGCCCAAAATGCCGCTCCCTGTCCGGAGAGCCGGGGGAAAACGGGAGCGGGAGGCTGAGCTTGTGCCCCGCGGGGCTGGGGCGGTGGCAGCAGCGCAAACATTGCGTGAGCTCAGCTAGATGCCCTCAGATACCTCGGGTGGTTTTTCCCGAGCTCGTATCCGTGAAAAAATTTTCCCATTTTTTTGTAGCACTACTCGTAAGCAGCAAATCCTTCCCAAGAGCCCAGCACCGGCCGTGACCTTTCGGAACCGAGTGGGAAGAGGCCGGCAGTTCCCGATCCATTCCAGCGGCATCTGGCAGCTCCAGGGAGCCGCTGCTGCCGCTTCCCCAGCGGATCCCGGCTCGGTTTTCCCTGCCGCCTGTTGAAAGCAGTGGGAGTTTTCCCCCTTGGCTCCCTCTCAGGATAATCAGCATCCCAAGTGCTTCCCCACCAGGTGGGCCGGGGCTGTTTTATCCACGATTTATTGCCACAAACCCAAGGAAATAAAAGGTGCCCGACTATAAACACCCTCCCGGGCTGCCTCCCTCTCCGCGCTCATCCCAGCCCTGTGGCACAGCCGGGCCAGGCCGCGTTCTGTGTGGGGAAAGCCCAGCCCAGCCCTGCACTGACCTCGCTTTCAGCTTTTTCTTCTCCAAAAGGTTTTCACTCTTTTTTTTTTTTTTTTGGGGGGGGAGGGTGCAGGTACAGCCTGGCAAAAGGGGTTTGTGAAGGAAAGAGCAGCAGGTTTGCATGGGAAGTGGCTTTTTCCTTAAATCCACTCCAAATGATCCACTCGTATCTGATTTATTACAGGGAAGCAATTTTTTTTTAATTAGCTGGCAACGACTGATGGCAAAGGGCAGTGGGATGGAGCAACTGGAGCTGGAATCCAAAAGGTTCCCCATGAAAAGCAAAGTCAAAGCCAAACCAAGCCTGATGATGAAATTCCAAGGTATCACCTGGTGGGACATTGCCCTAGCCTTTGGAAATTCTCTCCGTGTTTTCAGTGATTTGGGAAAGCAGCTCATTCCCTGCATCCGAGCCCTGGGTAATTCCTCAGGCAGCCACAGCAGCTTAAAAGCTGATTGGACCTAATTAAGTCAAATAAGAAATAATAGAGCTGATCCAGAAATATTGCTAATTAACCAACAACTCACTTGAAAATTACCCTTTGAGCTGGGTGAGTTTTCTCCTTTTGGAGGAGAATGGATTTGGGATTCTGTAGTTTGGGATATTTGACAAATTCAGTGAATTATTGTGGGAGACTTACACCATTCCCTCCCCAAAACATCCCCTGTGTGCCCCTGAAAGGGGACAGGAAGACAACTATTTGGAAGTTGTTCCAAACAAAACCTTTGGCTTCTTTTGAAATTTCATTTTCACTTCAGACATCGACCTAGGTGAAGACCTAGGTGAAGGATTAAAGAAAAGCTTGAAATCCCCTGGAAAGGAAATCGTAAAACTTCGTTCTGTTGGGTTGTATCAGTATGAGTATTGGTATTAGTATTAGTGTTAATATTAGTATCAGGATTGGTATTTATCCTGGAAGGGAGCAAAGGGAGGGAGGATCCCACTCCAAACTCCCCTCTCCAGACTCACAGGGTGACAGGAGGCCCCTGGCCTGGCCACGCTCCCCAGCTGTGTCCACTGGAGCATCCCAGGGATTGATGGGATTTATTCCCTTGCTCTCCTGAGCGGTTCCTGCTGGGTGAGTGGGCAGCAGATTTATCCCTGCTGGATAGGTTGGAGGAGCTCTGGGACATCCTCTGCTCTGCTGAGCTTTTAGGGATCAGAAGCAGGGGAGTAATTACAGGGCTGGGGTCAAATGGGGCAGGATGGGACTTGGATTTTGGGAAACAACTCCTCCCTGAGAGGGTGGAGAGGTCCTGGAATAGAATTCCTGCTGAGGCTGTGGCTGCCCCTGGAGCTCTGGCAGTGTCCCAGGCCAGGCTGGACAGGACTTGGAGCAGCCTGGGACAGTGGGAAGTGTCCCAGGGTTTGGAACTGGATGGGCTTTAAGGTCCCTCCCAACCCCAACCATTCCAGGATTCCCTGATCAACCTTCCTAACCTGGGTTTTGTGCTCCCGGAGCCCCTGGAATGCAAAGGTGGGGATTTTTAGCTCTCAGGAGAACAAGGGGCAGACACTGAAAGGCCCCTTGTCCCCAGGCAGGGAGCTCAGGTCCTCTTGGGCTGGGAATGGGATCCCTTTTCCAGAAACATCTCCAGGGGCAGGAGCAGAGCCTGGCACCACTGGGCACAGCTGGGCACAGCTGGATGTGCCCATCCCACAGAGCTCTGCCTGGGCTGGGCCGGGCTTTGGGACCCAAGGAGTCCCTGGGGACGGGTGGGACCCCACAGCCCCTCCCAGGATGTGACCCTGCAGCCCAGGGTGTCGGGGCAAGATGAGCCTTAAATGTGTTCTGCAAGCCCCAAACCTCCCAGAAAAATTCCCTGCTCTGGCCAAGCCCTGCAGAAACAATTCCTGCTGGAGCCAGCGTGGAACCAGAAAGGCACAGAGCACTTGGAAATTGGGGTTTCCATGGAAGCCACCACTCGGCCCTGATTCCAGCCCTGCTGCCTCAGATCCCAGAGAACGTCACAACCCCACCCAGAGCGACCCGGGGCAGCAGAGCTGTGGGAGCCCCCACAAACATCCAAAGGGGGCTGTTGTTGTTTCCCTTGGGTTTGTTCCATTTTTCATGCAAATAAATTAAATAAATGCTTGGGCTTCCAGCTGGGAAATTCTCCCAAGGAACTGAGGGAATTTTGAGGTCTGCAGAGGTTTGGGGCTGTTTGTTTTGAATTCAGGGAGGTGAAATCTTCCATCCATACCAAAATATTGGGAGCACATAAATAATGCCAGGATTTCTGCATCTGCTGCTTCACCCCAGCAGCACCAGAGGAGTAAAAACGTTTGGATCTCACAACCCTGCTCCGAAACAAAACAAAACAAAAAAAAAGAGAGACTTTGGATGTCTCATTTCCAGGGCCTTGTGTGTGTTTAAAGGAGAAAACCTGGGAGAGATCAAACAAATGCCCAAGTGAGCCGAGATGTGGCTGCTCCTTTGGGAATTACACTGGGAATCCCAGGTGGGGAAGGGAGATGAAGTGGGATTTTCCAGGCTTGCACAGAAGGATCAGTTGGGAAGATTTCAGGAGCCAGATCTTGGCTGGGCTGTGGACCCTGCCCCTGGGGGGTCCCCATCCCTGCACATCCCAAAGGTTTAATCCTCCTTCCTTCCAGCTTTTGGAGAAAACGTGGCTGATCCAGGGCTTAATTTGGGAATCAGCTGTGGGAAGGAGGTCCTGTCCTGTGCCACACGTGACAGGGCTGTCACATGGCCTTTAATTAGCGGGGTCTGCTTTAATTGGCATTTTCTGGCAGAGCCATTATTCCTGGCCTTCCTTAAAGGAATAAAAGGCTAATCCACAAATAAATGTGTTTATAGAGATAGATATTTAAATATCCCCTTCTTTTCCTTCTGCAGGTAGGGAAGAGGAAGGATTTGGATCTATTTTAAGCTTGCAGCTGGCATCCTCCCAATTATCTCCCCCTTTCCCCCCCCCATTTTCCATTTCACTGCCAAAGAAGTGAGGGGAAGAAATGAAACAAATGAAAACACCTCTGGATTTGGGAAGGATGGATTGAACAGGAATTCTTTGGAGCAAATTAAACAGTGAAGTTCTTAGGCCTCTTCCTTTCAAATTCCTTCTTTGCCATCAGGAATGGGGCACCCTGGACCTGCCAACTCCCTGGAACTGGGCCCAGCCCAGCTCTGCCCCCATGCTCTCTGTGGATTTTGGTGGCCCCAGGGCTGGCCAGGAACCTCTCCCCATCCCTGGGGCCCCAAAACTCTGTCCAGAGGTTAAAACGAGTCATGGAATGGTTTGGGTTGGTTTAGGATCTTAAATCCCCTCCAGTGCCATGGCAGGGACACCTCCCACTGTCCCAGGCTGCTCCAGCCCTGTCCAGCCTGGCTCTGGGCACTGCCAGGGCTCCAGGGGCACCACAGCTGCTCTGGGAATTCCATCCCAGCCCCTGCCCACCCTGCCAGGGAGGAATTCCTTCCCAATCTCCCATCCAGCCCTGCCATTCCCTGTGTCCTGTCCCTCCATCCCATGGGACACTGAACGGACACAGCCAGGTGAGGTGCTTGGTGCCCCATCCCTGAGCTTTTGGGACACCTCTCCCCTTCCCTGGCCCTGCTGGAATGATCCTGGATCCAGGCAGCCCGAGGGGAAAAGGGAAAAGAACAGCTTTGAAAGGAGCCCTGAAATCCCAGGGAAGGGGGATCCATCCAGAGGCTGGGAAATGAATCCATCTTCAGGTGCACAAAGCAGATTTGAGTACTGAATATTGAATATTGAATATTGAATTTTGAATATTATGTTTTCTGCCTCTTAGACACACAGATTTTTTTTCCTTGAGCCTCTTAACTTCAGAGCCTGGGGGTTTTCTGTTCCTGTTTATTTTCCTTTTCGTTTTTCCCCAATTCCTGAAGGGCTGGGATTTGCTGGCAGCTCCTAGCTGGGGGAGCTCCTGTTTTGGCTGCTGAGGGGCTGCAGGGAGGGGCAATGCTCTCCTGCTTCCCTTGGGAGTTCAGCCACACCCCAAGGCTTTTCCTGCTTCAAAGCTTTTCCTGCTCCATGGCTGGCACCACTGGAGATGTTCTGCTTTAATTCAAAAGGAGTCTTGGGAAGGAAGAACTTCCTGAGCTCATTTTACTGTTCAGAGCTGGCTTGTTCAAGGCTTTGGTCCTGAGGTGTGGGTGGGAGCTGATCCATATGGGATTGGGCATCCCCTACACCTTTATATGGATTGGGCATCATCTTCATTTAGGATTAGGCATCACCTACACTTTTATTTGGGATTAGGCATCACCTACACTTTTATTTGGGATTAGACATCACCTACAGTTTCCTTTGGGATTTAGGCACCTCCTGCACCTTCATTTAAGATTAGGCAGGACCTATGTTTTATTTAGGCTTGGACATCACCTCTGGATCTGGCAGGGAGATGTGACAGTGGGAAATGTGGGAGGGAATTCCCAGCCTCCCTCTCGTGGGGGGATGATTTGGATACCCCATGGGAATAAGGCTGGAGGCCCCTCTGCAGCTCCCCTGACCCCAAGCTCACATTCCCAAGAGGAGCAGCACCTGGAGCAGAGGAGGCTGGAGCTTCCCAGGGACAGGGCCAGCACAGCAGCCCGTGGGTCACCCTGGGACACCTGGGAGGGCCGTGCTGAATGTTCCATGTCCCACCCTGTGCCTGGAGAAACAATTCCCTGCTGATTCCCCCCTTCCTGAACCCTTTTCCCACCCATGAAATTCACTGGACCAGGCAAATCCAGAGGAAAACTGCTCCGTGTTTGGATGCTGGAGAGGATGGAAAATCCTCTCGTTCAGGGAGTTTGGCTTTCAAACCAAGTTCAGGGAGCAATTCCTTAAGTTAAGGTTTGTTCCTTGTCATTCCAAGGAATTTGAAGGCTCCCTTGGCAGCAAGGTGGGAAAAAGGGGAAAAGGCCTTTCTCCTCAAACCTGGAGGTGTTTCAAATCCAAGAGGCTGCCACATCCCTGGTCTTATGGCAGCAGGAGGGAAGTGGGAAAATGAGGTTTCAAATCCTGAAGGATAAAAGGGAAGGGTCACCTCCACATCAGCCTCTGATGCCACAGCACCAGAACCATGTTGGGAAGTTCCTTTGTTCCCTGAATCTGCTGGAAAACAAATATGGAACTCCTGGGCCAGTCTGGAGCCCAAACCTTGGAAGTTTGGGCTGGAATTTTTGGAATTGAACAGCCCTGGAGTGGTCCCTGGGTCAGCCCCAGAGCTGCCACTGAAACCTCCCCATTCCCAAACCCTTGGATTTGTGGCACAGGAGTTGCAGGGAAATTTGCTGCTGCAAAAATTCCCATTTAGGGGTTGGAGGAATTGGCCCCGTGTGGGGAATGATGGAATCCTGGAATGGTTTGAGTTGGGAGGGACCTTAGAGCCCATCCTGTTCCCAGCCTGGGGACACCTCCTGCTGTCCCAGCCTGGGCTGGGACATGGCCTGGGCTGGAGCAGCAGGGCTGGAGCAGCAGGGCTGGAGCAGCAGGGCTGGAGCAGCAGGGATGGAGCAGCAGGGATGGAGATGGTTCCAGAGGTGACACTTGGAGTTGGGGGCTTTGGGGACATGAGGGGTCCCTGTGCCACGTTCTTGTCCCAGCTCATCCCTGCTCGGCTCTGGAGCTCCAGCCCAGCACTGGGGTCACCTTGGAGGAAATCAATTAATGCAATTACTGTGAAAATCCCCGGAGCACCTGGGGGATGAGGCTGGAGGCACAAACAGTCCTGACGTGACCCTGCTCCCTGTGAACTCGCAGACTTGGCAGAAATGGGGGGGAATTCAGTGCTCCTCCCAAGGGAAGCAGCCCCTTTCTGCTCACGGCAAAACCTCCCCCTCTCCATCAAAAAAAAAGCTTCAATTCCTGTCAAAAATCCCTTCAAAGGATCAAATCTGACAGCCCCAAAGCTGCTCCAGTTCCTTGCAGATTCTGTGGGAATGCTGCCAGCGATTCCAGCAGGGCTCATGCAGGCAATTCCCAGGGTGGGAATCCCAGGTGGCTGCACACTCTCCACACACCAGCGGCAGCTGTGAGAGAATTTGGGAATTTTTACCTCCTTCCTGTGGATTTCCAGGGTTGGAGGCCACGGGGTGGGTGCTGAAGGTCTGTCCTGCTGATACCCCGTTACCTCAGGCACAGGGGGATCCACAGGGACCCGGGGCAGCGGGACAGGCTGGAAGCAGAGGCAGGTAAGTGCCACCTGTGGAGCTGCCAAACTGAAAGGATCCAAAGAATTTTCCTTTGGCAGCCTAATGGTGACAGCAGTTGTGTGGGAAGATTAATGGAGAAAAGGTTGGATAAAATAGAAGCTCCATCCTGAAGTTTTTCAGCTGCTTTTTTGCAGTTATGTAATTGTAAATGACATTGATTTTTATAAAAATCCACAAACAACACCAGGAAACTTGGAATGTTTCAGGCTGGATTCTGCTGCTGCTGCAAGCAGAGGAAATCTGAGGTTTTCTTGGATTTCAGGGTGGTTTCAGGCTGTTTTTTCAGGGATGAGAAGCAGGATTTGGCTCTCAATAGCCTTGGAATGCCACTGGAGCTGTGCAGGGAGGAGAGCAGGGGCTGAGCTGGCACAGCCAGGGAATTGTCCGGGTTTGTATCTGGCCAGAATTCCCTGCACACGCTGTTCCCTGCTAGCAGCATCAGCAGGGATCAGGATTGCACCTGGTGTGGGCTCCCAGGGCTTTTCCAGCCTGGGTGGTTGCTGTGACCCCCCAGGTGCCCCTGGCAAAGGCCCTGCTGCCCTTCCTGGGCAGCTCTGGGGACTCCTGGCTCCCATCCCGTGCATCCAGAGCCGGGCCCAAGGTTAAAAGCAGGGATAAGTGTTTAGTGGGAATGGTGAGAGCTGGTCCAAGGTTGGGCTGGGTGACCTTTTCCAGCCTCAGTGAGCCTGGGATGGCAGCTGGAGGAGCAGCAGGACATTCCCATTCCCAGTCCATCCAGCCTGGGGGAACTGGGATCACCCCCAAGCCCCCTGGGCTCACAGGGGGGCCTCTGCTCAATCCCTGTTGGACCTGGCCCTGGGACACAGGGAAAGGACACTGGGAAAAGATGGGAAATGACCCCTCAGAGTGCCTCAGTTTCCCCAGGTACAGCAGCAGGATTCCAGGACCAGGCTGGGACAACATTCAGGACCTGGCTCAGGTCAGTCCTGGCCTCTCCCCTGCCAGGACCCAGCCCCTGCGAGCTGTTCCCTCTCCCACTGCAGTCTTCAGGGCTTTTGTGGAATCATGGAATGGTTTGGGTGGGAAGGGACCCTAAAGCCCACCCAGAGCCACCCCCACCATGGGCAGGGACACCTCCCACTGTCCCAGGCTGCTCCAGCCCTGGCCAACCTGGCCTTGGGCACTGCCAGGGCTCCAGGGGCACCAAGGGAATAACCCTTCCCCGTCTCCCAGGGAGGAATTCCCTTCCAATACCACCCCCAAATCTGCCCTTTTTTACCCTTTTCCTTTAATGCTTCCCTGTATTCTCCAGCCTTTGGCTCCTCTGATGGCTAACAAGGAATTTTTTTTATTATTCCAAATCCCTGTTTTTTTCTTTAACAGAATCCCATGAGAAGGCAAAAGGAAGGGAGCTCCCGGGTGGAAAAAGCCCTGGGGGAGCAAAACTGCAGCAGGAAGAGGTTCCTCCTTCCAGGAGGGATGTTTGGACTGGCTCTGCCTTGGCACAAAGATCTTGTCAGGATTTGTTTTCCTGGGGAGACATTCCCTGAAGGAATATCCTGAATGTTCCGGGGATGTTTGAATCCATCCTCTTCCCCCTCTGAGGAAAAGGGGCTTGCTCCAGGTGTAGAAGGCACAAGGATGACATTTCCTGGTCTCTTTTGTTTCCTCTCTGTATTTCCCCCCAGAATATCGATACATTTATATTCAGAATTCCTCTCTCCCCCCTCTCCTCCTTTTCCAGCCCTTGGATGTGGCTGGATGAGCACATGGAGCTTCCCTGAGCTGTGGGTAATGGGCTGGATGATTCTCCATTATTTTCTCCAAGAGTTTTGCCTTCCCAAGGCTATTTCCTCTCTGGAGTTGATATTTTAAAACAATTTCCCTAGAGGTGTAAAAGCTCCCTGGAGAATTGAG